AGCTCTAGCTCACCAAGCTGATGCAATAAATACCCTTCCTGGTCCTGCAGGCTCCCCTTCATGCCCAACCCTTCCATGGGCACCAGCCTACTCAGCTGAGGGGTCATACGGCTCCTGGTAGCAGCGAGTTCTGAGCTAATGGATCAGCATCACTGGACTTGATCTGTGGGTCAATAGCTGCGTCTCAAATATGCCCTGGACCTCCATGTTTCCCAGAGATGTTCTAAAAGGTGTTGACATTCATACCAAAGCAAATAATTGCATTTTGGAGTAAAAAGCAAAATTCCTGTGAAATTTTTATTTTTTTTTTCCCTGTGAACTTTTAAATGAAGGCAGGAGACTGCAAATATTTTTGAGCTCCCCTTGCGTTGCTTCATTGGAAGGCACTCACGTCCTCTTTTATTTAAGCTGTCTCATACGGTCCCTTCGTCTCTGACGTCCCAGGAATCTTGGCATCACCAGGAATCCAAGATGCCTTGTCAGGGGTAAAGAACAGGAGGTAACACTGAGATGCAGCCCAGTAAAAGGACACAGTTAAGTTTACTATCAGCAGCTCCTGGAAGAAGATCTGAAATTCATGACTTACCCTGAGGAAGCAAAAAATCATAGATGAGTCAGGAACGCCAATGGAGTGCTTTTCTGCTGAGTTACTCAAAGAGGGACCCGGTGTCTTGAAGACACAGTTGCTGAAGCTGGAAGACTCTTCAGCGTGTTTCTGTGCCAGTTCCTAATCCACATCAGTGCAGTCATGTCCCTTCACTGCACAAACATCCTCCAGGTTTCATCCCGGAAACAGCCGTGGGCTGGGGAAGCCAACATGTCTGATTAGTGAAATTGGCTACAAAGCCTTCCAAAGGATGAAGATGGAAATAGGAGAGGACTGGAACATGCCAACTGAGGCTCAGGGACGAAGACTCTGTTACCCCCAAACAGGAACATAATTTAGAACAACATCATTTGTCATGGAAATATTCATTGCCTGATGCTTCTCTTTACTTCATACTCTATTTTGAGTTCTCTACCACATGCTTTAAATATAGGATTTTATTTAATCACCAAGACAAGCAAAGGCACTATTTTCTTCAGTTTCAACATAGGAAAACACAGTTTCAGGAGTTCACTTTTTCTTTCTCAAGCTCAAAAAAATGGGAGGTGGGCTGTGGAGAAACATAGAGAGAAAACACAGGTCTGTTTGGCCAAAAGGGTTGTGCTCTTTATACCAACCTATGCTGCCTCTTATTCTTTCTGGAACGTTCCCTGCCTAGTGCCTGTGCAGGTAGGTATGGATGCCAGGATTAGAAATTCTTCAAATGTCTACGGGACATCCCAGAGATGGTGGGAATAAAGTTGGATAAATTGGTCTGGAATTTAAGAGATGGGTCTGATCCTGAAATATTATTCATTAGAAACACATCACCTCAGATTTTCATCTCAGTGAACTTTTGTTTTTAATTCTCATCACAGAAAAAATGTTGAACACCTACAGAACACCATTTTATTATCATTTTCTTTGATGAAACAATTGCAGAAAATCAAAAAGCAGATGAACCAACAAAGGAACTCTGCTCAGGGCTATGTGGCAGCCTAGATGGGAGGGGAGTTTGGGGGAGAATGGATACAAGTATATGTATGGCTGAGTCCCTTTGAAAACATCAAAACATGGTTAATCAGCTATATTCCATTGCAAAATAAAAAGTTAAAAAAAAAATAAACTCTGCATTCTTGTGTGACCAGAGCATCTACTGTGCTCCCATCGAGATCAAACATTCGTTACTGCAAGGAGGAAGGTGAAAATCTGTGGGCCAATCACAGTGAGGCTCTGGCCTGGAAATGTGGGGTGCTGTCCACTAGGGCGAGACAAAATGCAGAGTTTGGGGGAGGGAGGCACAAGGGAGGTGCAAGTGATTCAGATCTCTGTCCTCAGTTGCCTCATCTGCCAGATTAGGGAGCGCCTCTTGAATATCTACAGGATCCTGTCCAACTCTCCTTTCTGGCCTTCTGATAGATTCTGCACATTCAACCAGGGGGAGCCCCATAACTAAGTTTCTTTCCTCATCTGTCTGTGCTGGGAGCTACGAGGAGACCCCCTTCCCACTATGGGCAACCAAGTGATCTGCTGCTTGTCCCTTTGTCTCTTTGGAGTAGGTGAGTCCCGGGTTCAGAGAGCAGATTCCTGTTCTAAAGACGCTGAGCTCCAGAGCTAAGCCTTTCCCTCACGGCAGCAGCATTGGCTGCCCTCTTGGGCCATGTTTCCCGACCACTCCCTTTACTCCATAGGTACTGTGGCTGGTGGGGTCACTCAGACCCCTAAATACCTGCTCAAAAAGGAAGGCGGAGCTGTGACCCTGGAATGTGAACAGGATTTTGATTATGACTCAATGTACTGGTACCGACAGGACCCAGGTCTAGGACTGAGGCTGATCTTCTTCTCACGATTTGTAAGCGTTGTTCAGAAAGAAGACATAGCTAAAGGCTACAATGCCTCTCGCAAAAAGAAGCCTTTCTTTCCTCTTACTGTGACGTCGGCACAGAAGAACCAGACGGCTCTGTATCTCTGTGCTGCTAGTAGACACAGTGAATCAAAGCCACCTCCTCTCTGCACACAAATGAGTCCCGTTTCCCCACCAGGTGGCGGGGCTTTTCTGTATTCAGTACCCTGGGCAGTCAGCTTCTTCCTCCTGAACCAGGCACCCAAAGCAGCTGCCCCAGCAACACATGTTGTGAAATGGCACAATCACATTTCAGCAATCCACCAGGGTGATTCTTAAAAATCACACCTATCTACATTAGGGGGCTTCCCAGGTGGCGCAGCAGTAAAGAATCCGCCTGCCAATGCAGGAAATGCAAAAGATGTGGGTTCGTCCCTGGGTCAGGAAGGTCCCCTAAAGAAGGAAATAGCAACCCGCGCCAGTATTCTTGCCTGGATAATCCCATGGACAGAAGCACCTGGTGGGCTACAGTCCATGTGGTCACAAAGAGCCAGACATGACTTAGCGACTAAAACAACTACTGAAAGGATACAGATTTCCTCCTTCCAGTGAAAGAATTTATGACAAAAAAAGCAGATGGGCTTCACTTGATTTTAAAACATTCACTGTAAAACTATCGAACTCTTTATTATTTCAGGGTGGTCCTAGTACTAAAAAGAACTTTTTAACAGTGAAATTTCATAATGGCCCCCATTCCCATGGCCAAGTTCTAAGAAAGTGACTGTATGAAAGTCAAAAAAGTTAAAGTGTCACTCAATGTTTTCTTAGTGTTAAGAAGCCATTGCATCAATCACCTCGGAAGAACAATTTCTAGAAAAATACAATCAAATAACTATAATATTTCTTGGACACCATACACATAGTTTCTGAATTTAAAAATATACTAGAAGAAATAATGAGTAAATTAGACACATCAGAAAACCAGTTTAATTGTATAAAAATTTAAATAGTCCAGAATTCTGAGGAAATAGAAAGGGAGGTGTGAGAAAAACCTATTGTCATGGCAGCTCTATTCATGGTGACCTCAAACTGGAAAACACCCAAATGACTGTCAACAACATGGTGAACAAACAGCTACGCTTAGTAATAGAATAAAATCTAGCAGAAAAGCAAATGTTATTTGTGAAATCATGGATGGATCTCATAAATACATGGATCTCTTCTTGAAAAAGAAGCCAGAGCACAGATTGTACAAAGTTAAGATAGCAGCTGCATTCTGAGGGCATTTTTAATTTACTTGTAGAAAACTATGAAGGAGGCTTCTGGGTCCTATATCTTGATCTGGGTCGTAGTTATATAGATGTACTCATTTGTGAAATTTCACTATGCTGTACACTCAAGATTTGTGTAGTCTATTATATATGGATTTTATATTTCATTTTAAAAGCGTAGAAAAACAACAGTAACAACAACCACCTCAAAATGTAGTGACTTTAACATATATTTAACATCTCTCATGGTTCTGTGGGCTGAGTGGGCCTGGCTGGGCAGTTCCCATCTGGGGACATCATGCGGTCATGGTCAGATAGTCCCTGAGGCGGGAGACGCCTGAGGCTCCAGTCGCCTGCACATCCAAGATGGCGTCTTTCCGCACATGGCTGATCCCTGCCCCGGGGTGCCTGGGACCCCTGTGGACCAGCCTAACATGTCTTCCTTTCTACCCTCAGCCCCTCAATGTGGCTAGGTGGGTTTCCTTGCAGAATGGTGGCCTCGGAGTAGTGAAAATGATTATCTCGTGGCTGGCTTCCCCTAGAGTGAGCATTCAAGAGACCCTGGAGGGATCTACAATGCTACTTATGACCCAGCTTCAAAAATCATAGCATCACTCATACCACATTCAGACTATAATAAAGAGATGTGTGTTTATATAATACATAGATATGTTTAGTATTCAGTCCATTATATGAGGGGACTGGCGTAAGACGCTCATGAAATAAATACCTCATTGAGAAGATGAGGAAGTGTTCTTTTTCAGTGTGAAGAAGCATTGAGCTTCTAGCCTAGTAGTCCTTATGTTCATCTATGGTTCTAGTGATTAACAAGCATGAGTTGTCTTGATTACTTTGAGGGTACATTACAGAAGTAAAGAACTAACAATAATGTCATTTACCACACAAACATAGCCATTTCCTTACATAAGGCTAAGAAACTAATATCATTTCAATGATCTAGGTCTCAGTTTCTGGTCTATAAAATTGAGAGTTGGGTTAGAACATCTCTGAGGTTCCTTCCAGCAATGTTTGAATGGTTCTTTTATAGAAAGGGGCTTTGCTGGGGGCTCAGACAGTAAAGAATCTGCCTGCAATGCAGGAGACCCAGGTTCACCCCCTGGGTCAGGAAGATCCCCTGGAGAAGGGCATGACTATCCACTCTAGTATTCTTGCCTGGAGAATCCTATGGACAGAGGAGCCTGACGGGCTACAGTTTGTGGGGTCACAAAGAATTGGACATGACTGAGCAACTTTCATTTTCACTTGATAGAAAGAGGGGTGGATCCTGCATCAGTGGCAATGATGATCACCAGAGGGCAGATTAGAGCATCCTTAGAATTATCGGACAGTCAGCCCTCCTTCTAGGGGTGGAGAAAGAAAGGGCAAGCTCATATCTTTCTTCAGAGAGGTGTGGTGAGAGGCCAGTTCCTGAAGATGCTGGTGCTTCTGCTGCTTCTGGGACCCAGTACGAGCCTTATTAGCTAAGTAGCTTGGTCAAGTGTGTGTGTGTGTGTGTGTGTGTGTGTTGGCATGAGTGAAGTGATAGCCAGGGATTGTGGACTTTTATAATTTTTTAAGCTTTTCTTGGCTGCTTGGTTTGTGGGTTCTTAGTTACCCCACCAGCCATTAAACCTGATTGCTGGCAGTGAGAACACTGAATCCTAACCACTGGGATACCAGGGGATTCCTTAAGCTTGTGGATTTTTCTACGCTGAACAAAATGGGACGGGACATCCACCCTCTTTGGAGGTATAGAGGGCAAAGTGAGGAGCCACCAGTCAGGAGAAATGGGGGATGATAAGCCTGAGAATTAGGACAGGGCAATTTCACAAAACAAGCAGGATTCCCTTGGAGCCAGGAGAACGGTGAGCGAGTGAGCAGGGCTGTGGTTTTCTGCCTGTGGTCGTGTCTTCCTGTCCTGCTGGGCTCTCATCTCCTTGACCTCTGTCTCCGCAGGCTCTGGCCTTGGCGCTCTCGTCTCTCAGCAGCCCCGCAGAGCTGTCAGGAAGAGCGGCGACTCTGTGACCATCCAGTGCCGTGCAGTGGACTTTCAAACCACAACTGTGTTCTGGTACCGTCAGCTCCCGAAACAAGGCCTCGTGCTGATGGCAGCTTCTAATGAAGGCACTGATGCCACATACGAACAAGGTTATAACAAAGACAAGCTTCCCATCAGTCAGCCAAACCTAACATTTTCATCTCTGACGGTGACAAGTGTGGATCCTGCCGACAGCAGCCTCTACTTCTGCGGTGCTAGAGACACAGCGCTGGGTGGAGATCAGAGAGCCAGACAAGAATCTTGGTAGCATCCCCCTTCCCCATCCCACTGAACCATGGGGCCCCGTGGAGGGAGGTGTGGAGAGAGAAAAGCCACAGCCTCGCTGACTGAGTCATCTGTGGCTCTGTGTGTAGAGAGAGAAAGAGAGAGAAAATGTCTGAGTACAGAGTGGGGAGAAGGTATGGTGTTTGAGAACTAGCCGTATGGGAATGGGGCTAGGCCTATAAATGGCCAACCAACCTGGAAAGTTCCCTGGGCTGAAAAGTATAAAATCTAGATTTTTTTTTTCCTGATTCTCCCGTATGCTAATCATATGTTCTTAGATAAACTGACACATAATCCTATAGGTAGATCCCAAAATGCTTCTGTAAACACTGAGTACTTTTATAATGGGCTGCCCCGGTGGCTTAGACAATAAGGAATACATCTGCATTGCAAGAGATGGGAGTTCAATTGATCCCTGGGTTGAGAAGTTCCCCTGGAGAAGGGAATAGCAACCCACTTCAGTATTCTTGCCTGGAGAATTCCATGGACAGAGGAACCTGTCAGCCTGTAGTCCTTGGGATCACAAAGTGTTAGACATGACTGAGTGACTAACATTTTTATAATAAACGCTGGAGTTTTTTCCTCCAAGAAAATTCAGCACTCTTGTCACCATCCTAGACTCTCAAGACAAATGGAATCATTAGCCAGCCAAGTAGAGATGTTCACTCATGAAAGAATTCAGGGATGTGCTATATACAGTATTGAGGTTGATAAAAGAACAGAATAGGACTGGACGGGGCAGCCCTCTACACCCAAGTACAGAGCATGCCCAGAACCCTCACAAAGGGACCAAAGGGAAGAGAAGACAGAGAAGATAAATAAGAAAGACTTCAGACAACAAGGCTTGTCTGCAAAACTAGAAAGTTCTGTTGGAAGTCACAAGATAGTAAGTGAAGCACTGAGTGTAAACCCCTAGAAAGATCCTTTTCTAGAAAAAAAAAAATCACACATTGACCATAAATCTTGTATAGCCCAGTAAAAATAAGCAAAAGATATTAACATACACTCTGGAGAAGAAACATCTGTAACCAATAAACATTGATTTACTTGTGATCAAGAAACATGGAGCAAGATGCAATTATATGTAAGTTGATATCCATTTGGTTAGCAAAATATAAAAAGCTTAAAAAAATATAGAGTGTTAGAGAAAGCCTTGCAAATTGTGGTGCTGGAGAAAACTCTTGAGAGTCTCTTGGACTGCAAGGAGATCTAACCAGTCAATCCTAAAGGAAATCAGTCCTGAATATTCACTGGAAGGACTGATGCTGAAGCTGAAGCTCCAATACTTTGACCACCTGGGCTGAAGAGCTGACTCATTGGAAAGACCCTGATGCTGGGAAAGATTGAGAGCAAGAGGAGAAGGGAGCAACAGAAGATGAAACGGTTGGATGGTACCACCGACTCAGTGGATCCAAGTTTAAGCAAATTCAGTGAGATAGTGACAGGGAAGCCTGGTGTGCTGCAGTACATGGGGTCACAAAAGAGTCTCAGACACGACTTAGTGACTAAACAACAATACACATGTGAGATCAAAAAGGAGAGACAATGAAAGAAACAACCGAATGGATATTGAAGCTAGGATGATGATGGTGGCAGTGCTAGAAAACAGAGAAATGAGAGTTTTAAAACATAATTAGGAAATAAAATCAAAGACGTGGGTAACTGATTGATCACAAGAGGCAATAGCTGGAGAGGAAGGTTTTGACTACAAGTCAGATGAATCAGGAGGACACAGTGGGAAGAAGATCGTGAGTTTCTTGACATTGGGGATGCCTCTGAGACAGAAATCTGACCAGAAATATGCAGAAAGCAGTGGTATGTAGGAGTCAGGGGCTCAAAAAAATGGACCTGGATGAAGGTAAAAATTTGGGACAATTTCCATAACTGGAAGGATGAAAGTGCCTTCTTGAGCCCTTGATGACAGAATATACAAAGAAAAGATCACAGAACTGAGGACAGAGATCTGAGGAGCCCACTCACCTTGAATGTGGCCTAAGAGATTAAATTTAATTGACTGATCAATAACACCAAGCAATACCGGATTAGTGACTATCTAACTGAGTACTAGTAACAAATCTCTACAGTACTCGAGCAGGTCACCACACAGATGGCTGCATGTTTCCTAGTCCTGATGATTCTTGGGGTGTCTGGCTGCCCCTCTGCAGTGTGGAGAAAGCAACTGCCCACTCGCCACACAGGAGGTGAAGACCTCGGGAGACCAGAGGCCTGTGAGAAGTGTGCCCCTTTGACCATCTAGTCAGTCAGTCAGTCAGAGTTATCAGAGCTTCCCTTTGGCAAAGAATCCTCCTGCAACGCAGGAGTTCAGTTCAGTTCAGTCGCTCAGTCATGTCCGACTCTTTGCGACCCCATGAACCGCAGCAGGCCAGGCCTCCCTGACCATCAATTCCTGGGTTGGAAAGATCTGCTGAAAAAGGGATACGCTACCCATTCCAATATTCTTGGGCTTCCCTTATGGCTGAGCTGGTAAAGAGTCCACCTGCAATATGGGAGACCTGGGTTTGGTCCCTTGGTTGGGAAGATCCCCTGAAGAAAGGAAACGCTACACACTGGTATTCTGGCTTGAAGAATCCATGGACTGTATGGTGGTTGGGGTCACAGAGTCGGGCATGACTGAGCGACTTTCACTTGACCACTAGGGGGTGATGTGGGTCTTTCTGTAAAACACTTCAGCGCATAGAGAGCAGCACCAACCTTCCAGAAGTTGTCTGATACTTCTGGAAACTCAGGTGAGATCCTTTAGGTAGTGGCTGTGGAAGCGTGAGTAAGAATTATTCAAATCCATTGCACCTGCCTTCACTAATCAAGGTCGCTTTAAGACTTGCTTGGCCTCCAAGTGGCATGTATCCTGAATAAGATGTTTGCCTGAGTTATTTTCCAGGAAACTGCTGGTAGTGCAGCAGAGCCGAGTCAGCTGTGTCTAGTTTCAGCTGAACTGGTTGAGACTGGTTAGAACCAATGACCCTCCTCCTGGGGAAGCACAGGTGTCTGCTTGGGTACCTTTTGACCTCAGAGGACCCAAGACTCCATTCTCAGATCTTGCTGAGCACTTCTATGGTGAACAGGCAGAGGCTATAGCTCAGTTACCCCAGCAGAGAAGACAATGCATGCACGTTTTTTCAGTCACCCTTCCCCAAGCTTCCCCAGCACCCCACGCTGCCCATGTGCACGTGTTCAGTAGCTAAGTCGTATCCGACACTTTGTGACCCTATGGATGTAGCCCACCAGGTTCCTCTGTTCATGGGATTCTTCAGGCAAGAATACTGGAGTGGGTTGCCATTTCCTTTTCCAGGGGACCATCCCAACCCAGGGACTGAACCCCCATCCCTTGCATTGGCAGGGAAGATTTCTTTACCACTGAGCCACCAGGGAAACCCATATCTCAGACCATCAGGTCATGCTTCATTCATGACCCTGTAAATACCCTGTGCCCCTTGCCTTTGCAGGGTTGGATTTGAGGTCTTGTTTTCCCTGGTGGCTCAGTGGTGAAGAACCCACAGGCCAATGCAGGAGACCTGGGTTTGATCCCTGGGTCGGGAAGATCCCCTGGAGAAGGAAACGACAGCCCACTCTAGTATTCTTGCCGGGAGAATCCCATGGACAGAGGAGTCTGGAAGCTTACAGTCCACGGGTTGCAGAGTCAGCACAACGGGGTAGGGGGGCGGGGAATACCCTTGCTTGGCTGGCTTGAGAAGAAGACCTTACTTTGCTGCAAGCATCAGAGTTTCAGCAGTTTGGCTCCTTGTGCTTAGGGCAAAATGAACCTGGAAGCAGTTGGGAGAATGATTTGCAGCTATCCTGGGATGACAATAGGTCTTGAAAATAGCAGGATCTAATTTTACACTTCCTAATCCCCAGAGCATGTATCACAGTATACAGTACCAGTAGTTGTTCTGGTCATACGTAATTGATAAGGAAGTCAATGAATGTCATCACTATTTCTGTTTCACATTGTGCTGAATTTCCAGCCTGGTAAAAGAAGAAAAAAGCATGAGAATTAAAAAAGAAGGGGGAAAGAGTGATTATAGACAGATGACAAGTTAAGAAGGCACAAAGGAATATAAAGAAGCATTGCATTATTTATAATACCATTTAATAAGTTAACAAAAATGAACATAAAGTCAGTTTATTCCCATATACTAGCAATAGATTTTTAAAGAGAGATCATTTAGTAACAGAAAATAGAAAAGATAATACACCTAAATCTATACAAAGATAAACAATTCAGAAATCTAAATTTCAGAGGAACACTTTTAAAATCTGAAAAACGTGAAGTTATATGCCATGATCATGAATAAGTTAAACCAGTACTAAAAGTATTCCAATTTCAGCACTATCATTTATGTATTTCCCACAGCACTAAACAAAGTCACAAAAGGAATTTCATGGAATTTGACAAAAGTAGTCAAAAGTTTAAGTGGAAAAAAGAGGAAAGAATACTTAAAATAATATTAAAGAATTACAAAGTGATGTGAATTTGCAATCTAATCACCAAATTATTTTCTAATTTTTTATAACTAAGTGGAAAAATGGAAAATCATAAATTTAAAATAGCACTATGCATATATAGGCACTTAATATATAGTAAAGCCAACACTGCAGGTGTGTAGGGGAGTAATGCAATATACAAGTTCTTCTGGGACAAGTAGTTCTCCACAGGAAGAAAAATTAATCTAAACTCTCTTACAGCAAAAGCAAAAAAAAATTCTAAAAAGATTAAATGCTTAAATGCAACATTTAAATTATTAACTTTTTGGTAAATATTATAGAAGTATATTTTTATGAACTTGAGCTATGGAAATATTGCTTATAAAGAATTAAAGAATTCACACCCTCCCAAAAAAAGAATGATAGATTTTACTAAATAAGGAATATCAATAAAAAATTTGCAAAGAGTAAAAACACAAGTCACAAATTGAAAAGATATTAGCATACCTGTAAATGACAAAGTTTAGTATCTGAGATATATAAAGAACTGGTACAAATAACTGATAGTTAATCTACCAAAAATATGAGAAAAGAGCAATGTACAGAAAAACCAGTGGCCTATAAGTGTATTAATTCAGAATATCAATCTCCTTAGCAGTCATAAAAATGCAAACTAAAGCTATAGTGAGATACCGCTTTAACCTAATAAACTGACAAAATTAAAAGAAGAGTACATG